GTGTACTTCACAGATTACAGATGGTGTCCCTGGGACTTGGGCTTGTGATATCTTCCTATACATAGCTTTTTCTACCACTGTTTTGCTGTCTAAAAAAAATCAAACCTCCCTTCCCTTTGAATCCATTTTGATGATGTCTCCTGAAGGAGACTGTAGGGGAACTGCCATCAGCTCAGAGGCGAGAGGTGGAAGGACAGTTGTGTTATAGGGAACCTCCAAAAATCTTGCGAAGCAGTTCCTCCTCTGGCGAGGAGGAAAGCCCCACCTCCAGTGGAGAGGAGGTGCAGGGACCAGGAGATGCTAGGGAGAGCCTCAACACCGAGCCTGAGCAAACCGGAGAGGAGGGAAGTATCCCTTTGCCAGTGCCCATTCTGCGCAGTAGGTTTTGGCGCAGGGAGGGGAGGAAGAGGCTGGGGGTCACGCGACTGTTATGCTGGGGGAGGTACAAGGACAGACCACTCCCAGATTCTGCTAGCGACTGAGCCAGACATGAACTTACGACGCTCTTCACTGTAAATAGTTTGCACTAAGAATAAAGCCTGGAAAAGACAGGTCGGAGTCTTGCCTGTTTGCTCTCGAGCAACCACACCACCACCTGACCACAACATCTTTATTCTAGGAAGAAAATTATGCCTAAAACACCACTCATACAATTTTAAGAGCTACTTTTTAAACTCACCTTGTAAGTTATAGATAAATTCCATTTCAGGCCTGCAATATTATTAAAAAATAAATATATATATAAATGACTATTTAAAGCTGAAACCTCTATGAAATGTCTTAGGCTGGAGGAAAGATGATGGAAATTGCTTACAAGCCCAAGTACTCAAAACCCAAGAGACCTGATTAGAGACTTAGGATTTTACATTACTAAATGTAATTAGTAGAGAGAAATCACTGGAACAAACAAGCATGAATGGCTGCAGGCAGAAGAAGCTTCAAGGCATGTGCTGCACTCATCAACAGGGAAAGCATAACATCATTTGATATTTAAAGCTGCCTTGTGGGAATCATTCTACAAAGGTAAAAAAATACAAACACAACCATCAGCAACCACTATATTTTCATCCTTGATATGTGAAAGAGAAGGTACCTTCAAGAGACATGAGGACCACTTGGAAAGGATCTGCCATCTTATTGCTGTATGGAGGCAACACAATGAACCAGCCACTGGGCAGTATTTGAAGGACAGGCAGAGAACAAAGGTCCTATACATGTCCTTATGCCCCAACATTTGTGTTTTTTTCATTTTCATGTAGCATTAAACCTGATACTTGCCTGTCTTGGATATACAGCTTTCCACTGTGTCTCTGTCCAAGAAATTAAATAAAATAAAGCTTCCATATGGTTGCCTGTTTAAATGTTTTTTTATTGACTGCTTTTAACATTTGAGACAGGCCAAACTTCAGCATGCCACATTTCCCCCTGCATGTACATGCAGCGATGGGCAACAGCTTAATCCGTTGTTTTCCCCATGCAACTGGAAGACCTGTTGAGCTCAGATGGGGAAGAAACCTTGGGAGCCCTAAGCCACTGCAGCCATGTAGTAAATGGAAATGTACGAAGGCATGAGTAGAATAAATATTTTGAAAGCAGCAACTTTAAAACAGATCAGGAATTCAGTGAATGAACATTGTACACCAAAATGAACACACTATTTAAATGCATTTCATTAGCTGAAGCCGTTTCCTTGGTAACAAAAAACAGAAACCAAGGGAAAAGCTTGCATCCATCAGATAATGAAAATGTTGAAAATGAACCTGCTATTGTAAAAAATAAATTGACAAAGCGTTCTACTGTATTGTGGTAGTAAGAGGGGGCGGGGAACCAAGACCAGCACCCACCTCCTCTGTTCCTGATCTAGTATTTCTTACGATTCCTTCAAGATTAATTTTCTTGTGATCTCCAGGCAACTCTTGACTGGCAAGAGCATGACTTTCAAGTGGGGTTTAGCCGCATCTAATTTCACTTTACAGTGTTGGTGGGCCAATGTAGAGTACATTGGGAGTGGTTTTGCACCCAGTTGACTGAGTTGCATATTGTACTATATGCAGAACCTTTTGTTAAATTTCTGAACGCTGTATTTTGTTTTCTGGGGAAATGTTATTTGCAGTTCAATGCTGGGCATTCCCAGCATTTTGGACAGATAATAATAAATGCCCCCCAAATTCAGGGGACCTCCCTGAATACCAACTGTGCTAGGCTATGTTGCACAGCTGCCCTACACAAGGGCCGCCCACGTACCAGCTGCCTCCTTTTAAAAGAAAACAGCTGCCTTGTGGCTAGCTTTCTGCAAAAGCCAATAAAAAGCACCACTGAAGAGGCCATATGCAACGTTTTATTTCGTCAGACTCCCACTTTTTCATTCATTAATGGTTTGGGGTTTGGTTGTTTTTTTTGCTTGTTCCATATTGCTATGGGTGGATGGAAAAATGTATTAGAAGATGAAAAATCCTTGTTATGAAAAACTTGGGATTGAAGATGGTATTCGGGGAATGTGTGGAAACAGCTATGCTCAGAGAACATGAAAAACAAAGAGAACTCCGGAGAAAGCAAGAGGTACAGCACCAAGGAGCATAAGGAAGTATGATTTAGGGTTGTACAGTGGTACCCCGCAAGACGAACGCCTCGCAAGACGGAAAACCCGCTAGACGAAAGGGTTTTCCGTTTTGGAGGCGCTCATGAAGCAATTTCCCTATGGGCTTGCTTCGCAAGACGACAGCCCATAGGAAATCTCAGGGACAGCGGGGAAGCGCAGCGCGTCTTCCCCACTGTCCTCGGACCTCCTCCGAAGCCTGGCGGCGGGGCGGGGACACCTCCTCCCGCCGCCGCCGGGCTCGGAAGGCTCCTCCGAGCCGGGCGGGGGGAGGGAACACCTGCCGCCGCCGCCCGGCTCGGAGCGGTGCTCCGAGGCCGGGCGGGGGAGGGAACACCTGCCGCCGCCGCCCGGCTTCGGAACGGTGCTCCGAGCCGGGCGGGGGAGGGAAGACCTCCCGCCTCTGCCCGGCTTCGGAGCGGTGCTCCGAAGCCGGGCGGTGGGAGGAAGACCTCCCCGCCGCCCGGCTCGGAACGGTGCTCCGAGCCGGGCGGGGGAGGGAAGACCTCCCCGCCGCCCGGCCCCGGAGCGGTGCTCCGAGCCGGGCGGGGGGAGGGAACACCTGCCGCCGCCGCCCGGCCCGGGACGGTGCTCCGAGCCGGGCGGGGGAGGGAACACCTGCCGCCGCCGCCCGGCTCGGAGCGGTGCTCCGAGCCGGGCGGGGGGAGGGAACACCTCCCGCCGCCGCCCGGCTCGGAGCGGTGCTCCGAGCCGGGCGGGGGAGGGAAGACCTCCCGCCGCCGCCCGGCCCGGACGGTGCTCCGAGCCGGGCGGGGGAGGGAAGACCTTCTGAAGGCGGGCGGGGGCGAAGTCTTTGCTCCCCCTGCCTGCCTGTCCCGGAGGGCTTTTGAAGGCGGGGAGCAAAGACTTTCGCCCCCGCCCGCCTTCAGAAGAGGTCCAGGACCTCTTCTGAAGGCTGGCGGGGGCAAAGTCTTTGTCCCCCTGCCTGCCTTCCCAGGGGCTTTTAAATTGCCCCGGACAGCGGAGAAGTCCTCCGCTGTCCCGGGGTGATGTTAAATTGCCGCCCGCCAGCAGTGTATGTTCGCCCGGACAGCGGAGAAGGCCTCCGCGGGCCCGGGGTTTTTTAAAATGCTGGGGGTGGGAAGAAAAGCCCTTGCCCCCCCCCCCAGCCTTCAGAAGAGGTCCGGGGACAGACTGTCCCCGGACCTGGTCTGAAGGCGGTTTCCCTAGGAACGCATTAATTGATTTTCAATGCATTCCTATGGGAAACCGTGCATCGCAAGACGAAAAACTCGCAAGACGAAGAGACTTGCGGAACGAATTAATTTCGTCTTGCGAGGCACCACTGTATCCAGCTAAGTTCTGCTTAGAGTAGACACACTGAAATTAATGGACCTATGATAGTCAAGTCCATTAATTTCATTGGACTGCTATGAATATGAGTAGCATTGGATACAACCCTTTCAACTCAGAAATAAACTAGACTCCATGGCACAATGTCCAGACTGGACAGCATACTGCTCAGACAAGGCTTAGCCCCCTTGTTTGAGTCAATGAACATAGGTAACATCAAAATCACAGACCACACCCCAGTAGAAGCTACCCTTAAAATACGAAACACGAACAACTCCAACATGGCCTTTCAGTCCCATCCTAAGCACAAACAAATTAATCAGAGTCTCATGAAAACTTTCCAGAACTACTTCAAAGAAAATGACGCAGACAATATTACAACTTCGCTCCTTTGGGACACAATGAAAGCAGTCACCAGAGGAGCCTGCATAAAAGAGAAAGCATCCCTTAAAAAACAAACCTCCTCAAAAATTAGCAAAATAGAACAAGACATCACAGACCTCTCATCACGCTACAAACAGGAGCTAAAAGACTCCTTAAACTTATAGGACAAAAAAGAAGGGAAATAGACTCACTAGAAATCAACAAAACAATGATCGACATCCTATATTCAAAAAAACGCTTCTATGAGTAAGGAGGCAAAAACTCCAGACTATTAGCAAACAGGTGTAGGAAAAGAAATCACTCAAAACAAGAATAAATTGCATCACCAAAAATGATGGCAGCAAATCATTATTCTCCAAAGAAATAACCTTAGAATTTGCAAAAAAAATAAACAAACCCCTCCCACAACTCATCTGAGAAGGAAATCAGAAAATTTCTAGCAGGACTGACCATGCTAACCTTAACCACTGAAGAGCAAGAATTAATGGACAGTCCTATCACCCTGGAGGAAATAGATACGGTCCTCAAAAACCTGAAACCACACAAAGCCTTATGTAAAAGAACATATGCTTTACCACCCCACACCTTCTCCCTTCTCTCCCCTTCTTTTCTTCCCAACCCTACACTACATATAACACCAATGTTTCACAACAAATGTAACTGATGTGTAGAAAACACAGCCTGAAGAGAGAGACAATACATGTGCTTTTGTAAACGAGGAAAATCTTTAATCAATATTTTCTTTAAAAAAGAAATAAACTGGACTATATTCAACTTACTTGTAGGGGAAAGTGTGTATACAATTGCAACACAACTTTTCTTTTTAATACTTTAAGTTCATCTTTTTAAAAACAGATTGATTTTTAAACAGCATGTACTCTGTAGAACCCATAGTATTGTGGAGTGTGCAAACACCTGCCTACACATATATGAGTGCCCTTCCACCCTGACCTGCAAGACATTAGCCCCATTCATATATATGTGATTGGTGACATGGCAGCCAAAGATGCAATCACACAGAAGCTGCTCCTTGCAGCAAGCTGTTTGGCTGAAGTGATTCCCCCATGCATTGGCAATGATTTTTAACCATCCTATGAGTATGCATTCTCAAGATTAAAAAATAACAGACCCTCACTGGAATACACTTCATACAAATGGCACCTGGACTCCACAGTCATTATGTAGTTGTGGTGGTTGTCCCCACCCCCCGTAGCTATTACTGCAAAATTACCACTCAGAGTGGATGGCAACCCAGTCAGATGAGCGGGGTACAAATAATAAAATTATTATTAGTAGTAGTTTGCATGAATTGGGCCTTGCTAATAGAGGAGGGCTCTGCTATGACCTTGATTTTGATATTGTGTTTAAGTAATTTGTATACCACTTTATGAACACAGAAAGTCTTTTAACACACAACCATAAAACAAGTTGTAAGGAAAATTGAAATACAAGAATAAAACAGCTAGTCAGCAGAACAAAGACCCTCAAATCAACAGCAAGAAAGAAGTCTTAACTTGCCTCCCGAAAGATAACAGGGAAGAAGTCAACACGGCTCGACCACGGTAGATCAAATTCCAAACTACGAGGTTACAAACAGGGAAGGCCAGTTTAGTGTGCGGAGGTCAATATGACCTTCACAAAAAAGCAGAAGCAAGTCATTTTTTAATGCTGATGGGGGGCAGCGGGAGATTGCTGTATTTTTCATACTAGAAAAGAGGCAATCAGGACCTGAGTTCTCCAGGGAAACAGATTGGTAGCCAATGCAGGAGTCTCAAAAGAGCTATTACAGGATGGTGCCTACTTGTACATGTCAACAGCCAAGTGGAAACATTTCACACTAGCAGAAGCTCCTGAACCATATTCAAATACAGCTCTACATAGATTGCAATACGGTACTCCCATCTGAAAGTCACCACACACCTGTCTCTATGTCAAAAGTGGTGAATTCCTGTTACGAACCCCACCTTCAGATAGAAGTGGTAAAGTGTCTTGTTTGTGGGGGGACAAGAGCTCATCTGCTGTGGAAGAAATAGACTGAAACTTCCTGCCCACCAGCAGCTTACAGAGTTTTATTAATTCTCTTTGCTGGAAAAAGATTAGTTTGGATAATTTTATTCTGCTCACTGAACCTGTTTTATTCCACACTCAAACAAGCTAATTAAAACCCCACTGTGTTTTTAATCCTATTTTCAGAAAGTCAGGAAAACAATGAAATACCTCCATCGTTTTCCTAAGCTTGTCCATCCTGTTGCACTGATGATCTTTGTTGCCGGTGTTATTTTGCGGCTGGTTTTGTCGTTGCTTAGATTTAACATACATTTCATTATGTGTTCTATGCTTTTAATTTTTACTGACGAACCGCTCAAGGAACTTTAGTTATTGGGTGGTAACTAAATATTGAAAATAAACAAATAAACTTATTGACGTGATTTGAGGCAGATTCTTCAGTGACAAGACTTTCTTTCTTTCTTTTTTTTGTAAACTGAGTTCTTAATTAATTTTCAGGCCGTTAGGCAACATCTAACACTATACAAGCAGACTTCTGCTCATGCAAAATGACGTCCTTTCCTCTTTTTCTCCCTGCAGTCTCCCACCAAATTTGCTCGGAGAGTTCCATAGTGGATGGGACTGAAAGGTGGCCTGCGAATCCATTTCGTCAACACTGACAGCTGGTATTCATGCAGGATCCTTATATTGTGGACATGCATTTATGTTTACATTTTTATTTTGTTGGGGAAAAACCAATGTGGGAAGCAGCTCTGGCTTCCAACGATCCGCATTACACTATAGTCTATTCAGAGTAACAATTAACCTCCTCCGTCCTTAGCTAAAAAGGAATTTTCCAGTGCGCTAATAAATTTTTGTCTCATTTGTGCTTTGAATTGCCGATACCATTCCATAAGCTGTTTCCTCCTCTGAATCTTTTGTTGCAAAGTCATATTTTGCTCTTTTTCTAAAAGGGCAGGCAGTTCTTTCCAGTTTTTAATAAAGATAAAGGGAGCTCCCGTGGTCTTTAGTAATTGCAGTGGGGCACTGTGGGACACAGATGAATTTCCGCAATTGCCTGGTGTCATTACATCTTCTACAACAGGAACGGAGCCAAATGAGCATGCCTCATAAACCCTGTAGCATTCTGTATTTACTCCCACTGGGCATAACGTGAGATCACTCTGTAGCAATGCGTCGTGGTAGTTTCGAAGGCTCTCGTTTGTTTCCTGAGGCCACCACCTATAAAAAAAAGACAAAAAAAGAAAGTGCATACTTCGTCAACAACAAATTTTGCGGAAAACAAAAGATTCACACCACATTTTTAGTGCAGCCGTTCGGTGTAGCAGCCACAGCCACAACAGTAATATCTAAGAACTGGGGAGTGGATAGTTTACATCACTGTTTCCCCATTGCCTTCATCAGTCATTACTGCCTTGTTTGAAAGAGCTTAATGGCTTGGATCCTAAGATAAGTTAACGTAAGGAAGTTCACAGAAGGAATGTTTCCTGTCCTCTCCTCCATCTCAGTAGCCTCCTGACTCTCATCCCACATTGTTCAGGAGACTATTAGGGGGCAAAGGGGGCTTTTGGGGGACACACACAGATGGAACAGATCCAAGTCATTATGTTGATTTTCACTTATTTGTGAGGTTGATCAGAAAGAAAGAGTGCATATTTTAAATGATTTATAAAATAACAAACTGGAATAATCAAGAGAATGAACAACAGTGCTTTGACCTTGAGTGCTGCACATCTCAAACTATTTCTAAAGAATTTCCATTCAAATTCTATGCACTCATACACACAGCTCAAAAACAGAAAGTGGGCAGGGATGATGGGAGTTGTAGTCTAAAAACATCTGGAGGGCTGAGTTTGCCTGTGCCTGCCCTAAATGGCCTCAGTCCAGTATATCTGAAGCAGCGTTTCCACCCCCATTGTTCAGCCCGGATACTGAGGTCCAGCTCCAAGAGCCTTCTGACAGTTCCCTCCCTGCGAGAAGTAAGGTTACAAGGAACCAGGCAGAGGGCCTTCTCAGTAGTGACGCCTGCCCTGTGGAACGGCCTCCCACCAGATGTCAAGGAAATAAACAACTATCTGACTTTTAGAAGACAGCTGAAAGCAGCCCTGTTTAGGGAAGTTTTTAATGTTTGAAGTTTTATTCTGTTTTTAGTGTTCTGTTGCCAGATGGGTGGATCATCATCATCATCATCTTGGAACTCTACCTGCACATCACGATGCATATAGCAGTTTTATAAAGTGCTGGTATGGTATTTGAACCCTTATCATAAAGCCATCATCCAACAATTTTGGCATTTCAACCCCCCCCCCCCCCATGCAGGCAATTATTGCAAATTGGTATCAAAATCCTGATGCAGTCAACATAAAACATTGGTATTTTAAACTGTTAATATTTTTGCTGTTATAGACTATAGTTCTTACTCTTCTCTGGCTGAAATCCAACAAAGCTTATCGAGTCCATTTTGCTTCAGGACGTCCACTAGGATCTCTCTTGTTGAATTCTTATAAACAGTTCCTAAGAAATTACACTGGTACGGTCTTGGCGTGTGGAGCATTGACCAACTCGGTTCAACTACAGGAAAGTATCTGTAGCTGTAATGAAAATAAAACATGTCTCTGTGTATGAAGCAGTTGTCGGGGGGGGGGGGGACCACGAATGCAAGGATTTGGAACTATTCGTTTATGAAGGTTGCAATCCACAGCGTACTTACGGGACTGTAAATCACATTTCATTATGCCTACTTCAGACTGTAATCCTACGCATGCTTTCCTTGGAGGAAGTCTCATTACATTCAGAGGGACTTATGTCTTAGTAGACATGCATAGGAATCTGTTTAGCAGTCAAACTTATCTATCTGTCTCCAACTCTGCTCACAGCCTTTTCCATGCTAGTCTGCCCCTTCATTTTATTCAGAACTTTCTATTCCTGATCTACATCTACTTTCTTGCCAGCAGAAGTGACTGGCTTCTTTAAAATTGACACCCCTAATTGTTTATTTGGTTACGTGAGCCTGTTGAGAAGATGCAGAATGTAAAGCACCGTTCTTTTCCCCCTAATAAATGGTGCATCAGTTCAAAGGCTCTTTCATTTGGCTTCATTCTTTCATTTCTATGTCAGCCATTCACAAAAGTGAAAGGTACCGTATGTCCTTTCCCCTCTTTCCATCTTAGTACAGCATTCACGACCACATTTACAGCAATGGAGTACAACTCCCCAAGTACAACCTTCGCACGCAAGAACTCTCCTTGCTTTTTTCGTCTCTGTGATATTTTTATCAATCTTTGATCCAAGGAAGGACAGCCTGTGATCCCCCAGATGTTACTGGATGACTGTTTGTGGCCACTGACCATGCTTGTTGATCCCATCTGTAGGCCGTGGGATCACTATTCCTGCTTTAGCCAATTTTTAACACAGCACAATCTACTGAGCTCCTGAACAAATGGACCAGCAATGCATTCACAATCCCAAACTTCTTCTTATTATTATCCATTTGACAAGTTATTCCATTTCATTCTAAGATTTAGGCTGCAAGGGAAAACCCCATGGTGAAACTCTTTTATAAGCATCTCCCATAGGATATACTGGTGATGGGAGGAGCCCCTCTTCTTGCCCCAAATCTGCTAACATTAATGGAGCAACAGGACAGTGGCACATGCTATAGTTATTTCCATCCCACCAAGAGTGCGGTCTGGGGGGCCCAAATACCTGCAAAACCATGTTTCATTCAATTCTGTTGTGTTCAGATCCACTATTTCACCGATATAGTTATGCAACTACCCCTCAGTGAGAAAAAGCAGTATACAAATATAAAATCAGATCTCTTTAATTTAAATACAATCCTAACTTTTTTAAAAAAGAGTCTCAATGTAAATGCTGGTATATATTAGCTGAAAGAATGCAACCTGTGAAGACATCACAGCAATTGGCTCAGTATACCTGAAGGAGCGTCTCCACCCCCATCGTTCAGCAGGTCCAGCTCCGAGGGCCTTCTGGTGGGTCCCTCCCAGCGAGAACTAAGGTTACAGGGAACCAGGCAGAAGGCCTTCTCGGTAGTGGTGCCCGCCCTGTGGAACCCCCTCCCACCAGATGTCAAGGAAATAAACAACTCTCTGATTTTTAGAAGACATCTGAAGGCAGCCCTGTATAGGGAAGTTTTTAAGGACTGATATTTTATCGTGTTTTTAATATTCTGTTGGGAGCTGCCTAGAGTGGCTGGGGAGACCCAGCCAGATGGGCGGGGTAAAGTAATAAATTATTACAGTGTTGTTGTTGTTGTTGTTGTTGTTTACAAGTTGACTCAGAAGGAAGGGCCAATGTGCCCAGTGGAGTTTTCTTCCAAGGAACTGTGTTCACAATTGAATTCCCACCCACTTAAAACTGTAGTTTAATCAACAAATCATTTCTGATTCTTAAACACAATAATCCGAATCCAAAAGTGAAAACTAGCACTATCAACAATAGGAAAATGCTATTTTTGCTTAATACAGCTATTCTACAAAGCATTATGTATTCAACGTATATCCCATCTTAATTAACTGTTATACACGTAAATACATAGGACATTTTTAGGCATATGCAAAATTAAAAATATTTTCCTGAATGTATTCAGGACTTACGTAGCAACTCCCAAAGGCCAGTGGAAAATATCTTCTTCGTTCACTAAGGGGCTGTCGTATATTACGAAGAGAAGGTCCACAAACCCTCCATATCTTTTTAAGTAAGGGGAAATCCATTCATTTTTGCACTGTTCACTTCCAAGCAACACAACAGCAACATGCTGCAGCTTGTGAGTTTGTACTAATGTTTGTGCATAATGCAGCCACTGAGTGGCGTAGGAGATCTTTCCTTCCTCTCGGCCATTCAGCACTAGAACCACATTGTCAGCTTCTACTGAGAAGTAGCCGGGGACTACAGCTGGACCTGTAATGAAGCTGTGAATGACAAAGGACAGGCACTGCAAGGTTTACAGGTATTACAAATAATGCAATATAACACACCAGATTGACATTTTAAATAACAGTTATCACTGATGCTCAAAGGATTTTGCTCTATCGTTTTTGTAATGGAATGAAGAGGAACTGTGCAATTTCTCCCAAGAAATTAAGACCACCATAAGGCTTTGTCCTGCACTGTCTTTGCTGCCAACTCTTCATGGCCTGACCCCAAGGCTTGTTGTACCAGCAGTATGTATATATTTACACACACACACACGGTGAGATGTACCAACCAATGTGCAGGCAAGTATCACATTATTCATTGTTGAATAAACATTCTGTTTGAACAATTTCACTAACTAATGCACAAAATTACGTTAAGCATGTTCACTGGGCTAAGAAATACTGCCACAACTAAACTTAAAAGAGGTATCATACAATCGGTACCTGAAGAATGATTTCCCTGCTGTGACGCTTCCTTCTCTCCACTGGGCCGACACATCAGCAGGCTCAAGAAGACCTTCAAAGATATGCTGCCACAGGTAAAGGCCTATGAAAACATGATTTATAGTTTGGATAATATGGGACGCATCTGAACTCCTAGATACCTTAACGAGAAATGAAGATAAAAAGAAGCAAAGCAGGCCAACTCCAATAAAGCAACACAACTTGGCAAGGTAAATAAAGGTCTGCAATAAGTAAGAGCAATGAAGGGTGCTTTAGGGAGGGGATCTAAGCAGACGAGAAAACAAGAAACCTACAGGAGTGCTGATGCATGCAAGGTGCACTTATATCTGTAAGGTGATATAAGGCTTTGGGATATTTGGCATGGAGAGAAGCCCTGGCCCACCAGGAGGAAAACCTGAGAGCAGAGCTGCCTTTGACATATCCCACTCTCAGGCTAACATTCCACCCCGTTCAGTATTGAAAAAAGACACCCTCAGAGACCTTAGAAGCATCATAGAGAGTGTCCGTCCATTTACCACTGCAAAGGCCTTTACACCATCAAGGTGTGAAATCAATGAGAGGAATACAGAAAACTAGGAAAGGTGTCAGGGACTGGAAGGGCTCCAAGGAATGGGTGGAAGAAGAAATGGGGCCAAAGGCAAATCCAGCAGAAGGGGGGAGAGATTTATGGAGGTTTGTGCCTTCCACAAGGCAGGAGCCAGAGCTGAAGAAGGAGTCTCAGCAAGGTAGCAGGAATGGACTTTTCCTTGGGGTTTACTTCCGAAGCCTTTCTCATGATGAATGAGCATAGCCGCAAGGCAGCAGAGTTTTAGGATCAGGGTTTTCCTTCTCCTATGGGCTACCTTCCTAGGTTGATGAGCCCCATCTGCCCCTCTACATTCAGAAACTTTTAACATCTGTAGTCAAATTAATTTTTTAGTCACTGGGCAGGAAATGTTATGCTCCATTTTACAAGATATGATCCTAATAATATCTACTAGGAAGTTAATCCAATGGAAGTTAACAAGGCTTGCTATCAGCAAAGTGGGCTTGGAATCCTGCCTACAGTGGTACCTCGGGTTACATACGCTTCAGGTTACATACGCTTCAGGTTACGGACTCCGCTAACCCAGTAATATTGCTTCAGGTTAAGAACTTTGCTTCAGGATGAGAACAGAAATTGTGCTCCGGTGGCGCGGCAGGAGCAGGAGGCCCCATTAGCTAAAGTGGTGCTTCAGGCTAAGAACAGTTTCAGGTTAAGTACGGACCTCTGGAACGAATTAAGTACCCGAAGTACCACTGTAATCCTAAACTCAGTTACAAGGAAATCCACTGAATGCAATAGTTCAGTAATGAAATGTTAAGGATCGAACCGAAGGAGTGAAGCAATATTATTTAGAAACAGCAATCACATTGCTAATGACAAGCGCTTACCAATAGCAGCTTTCCCCCAAATTTGTACCCTCAGGTCTGTTTGTTCCTGTTGCACTTGCATCTTTTTTAACAGTTGAAGACTATTTGCAGACTTCCGCTGCAAATCGTTTTTCTCATCAACTTCCCAAGGATTCCATTCTTCAGTTCCCAAAACAGCATGTTCTAAGTATAAAAAATGTAAACAACGTGAACCATAACATCAGAACTTTGTTGAATGTGTTGTTACAGGCCCATGCTGTACATATACTAAAACTGTGACACCTGAAGTGCATAAATACTTTTTTATATAATAAAAAACATCACAGAAACATAACTCAGCATATGCTTTCTATGCAAATAGTCTGTCATGACCCCAAAGTCCAGCAATGATCAGGAAACCAAGCAGAAGGCTACAACATCACTGGTTAAGAAGCCAGATTTTGTTCCTGACTGTGATCCTAATGCTGGTAATAAGGGGACCACTGAATCCAAGACTGGCAGGAGGGAGCCACTGAACCAAATGCCACAGCATCAGACCCCATAGATTGGAGCCAGGATCCTTGGAGATACCTTCACTTGAATCAAGGGTGCCAATAGTACCTGTCCAGTTCAACAGGTCAGTAGAATACAGTAGAAATATCCATTCCCATGCCACAGGGTTGACCCTTTAAGAGACTATTTCTCCCAAAGGGGGAAGAGCCTGGGAAATGTGGATTGGAGGCAGAGACTCAAAAGGCCTCAGTTCACTTCCAACCCTTGTTTAGAACAAGTGGCTTATTAGGAGCTTTCCATGGTGCTGAAATTATTCTGGGGGCTCCTTTGTGAAACCAGAACAATACATGGTCCCAGCTTCTAACCCTGGCTGCAAAAGATTTCTGTCTGAAACACTGGAGATCCTCTGCTGGTCAATGCATATAATGTTGGGTTAGATAGACCAATGGTCTAACTTGGAATAAGGCAGCTATCAAGGAATCAGTTATAACTCTTTGTGATGTGCTTCTTTCAGTGTTGCCTCTCATGACTCACAGAGACACAACTGTCAGAACCATCTTCAGGACCCAACTACGGGGCATGGTATTGCCACCTCCTTTGGTTCAGATGACTCGTGCATGGTGCCCTTGTCTCCTCAGTTCCACAGGAGCAAAAATGGCAGAATAAGGTAAGAGCCATTTAACAGGCTGGCATGCAACTACTTGTCAAGAAAACAGTTCACAAAGCTATGTTAGAACTCTGGGAGCTCTCCAAGGTCCTGTAGGTGCTCTGTATGCCTTGAACTCTTGATGGGACACAGGTGTGAACCTCAGGTGTGTACTGTCCCACCCCTCTCCAACCCCCCATCCCCATCAGGCTTGCCCATTCATTTTCCCTTTCCTCCATCCTAATTGAGCAGTTCTTCCAGGAGGGTGTTTCACTTGGCTCAGCTGGTAAGGCTGCCTCTCGTTGGCTTTTCTACCTTCTTTATGAACGTGTGTACATTTTTGATCCAGTCATTTAACTTCATAGAATCAATAACTAACAGCAGCATACACAAGAGCTCAGTAAAGTCACAGCAGCTAACCTATTAGCCTTAATCCCTCTTGAATTTTGGAAGAAGGGAGAGATTCTCTCAGGTAGCTGCTTACATTATTATGGAGAATGTAATAAATCACCCATTGCATGCCTGCCTGCCTGGCTACTTTACGTGGCATGCAAACTGCCTTCCTTAAAAGACTGAGCCATGGAAAAGCAATAGGTAAAGGTAAAGGGACCCCTGACCATTAGGTCCAGTCGTGGCCGACTCTGGGGTTGCGCCGCTCATCTCGCTTTATTGGCCAAGGGAGCTGGTGTACAGCTTCCAGGTCATGTGGCCAGCATGACTAAGCCACTTCTGGCGAACCAGAGCAGCGCACGGAAACGCCGTTTACCTTCCCGCCGGAGCAGTACCTATTTATCTACTTGCACTTTGATGTGCTTTCGAACTGCTAGGTTGGCAGGAGCAGGGACAAAGCAACGGGAGCTCACCCCGTCACGGGGATTCGAACTGCCGACCTTCTGATCAGCAAGTCCTAGGCTCTGTGGTTTAACTCACAGCACCACCCGTGTCCCTGGAAAAGCAATACCACCAAGAAAATATGATGAGCACTTTTACTGGGGTAGTGGTAATGGCTTTCCAACAGGCCAACACAATTTAAACCTGAAGCTCTTTCCTTCTTCCACTTTACACACACAAGATAATGGAAGAATGTAAAATGTGGCAAACTGTCCATTATTAGAGAAACTAAATCCCAAAGTGCACTATGGCAACATGCATGTGAGTGTTTCCTTCACCATGCACACATTGATATTACAAAGCTGGAGAGAACAATTGTAAGCTTCAACCACGTTAGAAACACAACAGTTGAGGTGTTTGCTCAATATTAGTAGGCCTTGTGGCTCCTGCTTGGCTGAAGCAGGAACTCAAAAACAGACATTCAAACTAGACAGGTGTTTCACTAAGCAGTGTTATTCGTACCTATGCACACCAGAGGGCAGATGAGCTTGTGTAGGAACTGCGAGCCTATATTGGATGAATGAAGAAAGGATTGTTTCTTTGCACTTCTCCTTTCAACAGAGCACGCATCCAAAGGAAAGCAAAATGCTAATAAATTATATCTGTGCTCAGGTGCACATTTAGATTGATCCTACCTAAAGTGCTTTTAGGAGTTTGGAAGAATTTTCCTGCAAACCTTGGTTGTTTCACAAACTGTAGGGACCCTCTCCACAGTCTTGTCCTGTCCTTCATTTTGGTTGCCATACATAATAGGAGTGATCATGATAGTAGCTTGGAGCAAACTGAAGTGACTGGCTTGGATTCAGGAAAAAAAGGCCCAACTTTTATTACAAAGCTTGTAATTTCCAAACTCTGCAGTGCTTCGACCACTTGGAAATTGCAAAGGGTTTGGCAGACCACTTAATGAATTTTCTGCACTAGGTGCTAAAGTATTTTGGAATTCAAATTTCAACGTGATAAAATACAATAAGTAATGAAAGGCGTTATAAAAAAAATACGGTTAAAATCAATATGACTATTTCAGTGTGATGGATATGTCTGTTGTGCTAAACGAATTTATTTCTTACTGTTTCCACTTCCATATGTATTAACTCTCCATTCATCTTCAGTGCCTTATCTGTCTCTTTTCCCCATTTGGGTTCTTCCTTTGTTTTGATGCCAGCCCTGAATTTATTCCTGTGAGGAAGTCAGAGCCTCTCTGCCCCTCATTTCTGGCCCATCCCATCCATCTTCCAGGAAGACTTCTGGGTTCAAAGAAAGACAGAGCAGCCACTGTGCTTGCGCACAAAGCATTCTTCACACGTAGCTCCACTGCTTCACCGAGCTGCCACCAGAGACTTGAAGCTCACAGATCACTGGAGGTCCGTGGACCACACTTTGGGAACCCCTGGTTTACTCGGCCTGCAATTCAGTACCAACTGTTTCCAAACGATACAAAGTAATACTAACAATAACACAAAATATGATAGACAATCTACACCACTTTCTTCCTATGCTACCACCTTAATGAAAATATAATGAATATAATGAATACTTATGCTGGAAGCTGCTGACTTTACTCCAAAAAGTGAAATTCTTGTTCTAAGGCCTAATACATAGTCTACACCAGGCACAGGCAAACTCGGCCCTCCAGATGTTTTGGGACTACAACTCCCATCATCCCTAGCTAACAGGACCAGTGGTCAGAGATGATGGGAATAGTAGTCCCAAAAAATCTGGAGGGCCGAGTTTGACTATGCCTGGTCTACACCAGCCTTTGCTAACCTCCAGATGGCTACTAGCCAAGGCTACAGCTACTCGCCATGATGGCTCGGCTCTGCTCCACAGACAGAGGAGCTGATTGAAACCACAGAAGGAAAGAGTGCTCTTGTGCTCAGGTCTTGCTTGTGGGTTTCCTGCAGGCATCTGGTCGGCCACTGTAAGAACAGGATGCTGAGTTACATGGGCCACTGGCCTGATGCAGCATGCTCCATGTATGTTCTTAGATGTTGTTGGACTACAACTCACATCATCCCATCATTGGCCATGCTAGCCAGAGTTGATGGGAGTTGCGTTGCAAAACATCCATACGGCATCCCGTTGGTCTATTATACTATGAAGTAATCACCTGATAAGGGATGTGGGTGGCGCTGTGGGTTAAACCACAGAGCCTAGGACTTGCTGATCAGAAGGTTGGCGGTTCGAATCCCCGCGACGGGGTGAGCTCCCGTTGCTCGGTCCCTGCTCCTGCCAACCTAGCAGTTCAAAAGCACGTCAAAGTGCAAGTAGATAAATAGGTACTGCTCCGGCGGGAAGGTAAACGGCATTTCCGTGCACTGCTCTGGTTCGCCAGAAGCGGCTTAGTCATGCTGGCCACATGTCTGCGGACAAAAGCCAGCTCCCTCGGCCAATAAAGCGAGATGAGCGCCACAACCCCAGAGTCAGCCACGACTGGACCTAACGGTCAGGGGTCCCTTTACCTTTAATCACCTGATATTAACATCTGCTTCAACAGTTAAATACCAGTTTGTGACATCTGCTTGTAATAGATTTGCTTAATGAAAAACAGTGGTGGCAACCTTAACCTCACACCGTTCCAACCTCTGCATGAATCTCGTTTCCTATACTTTGTTACCATTTTCTACCACAATCAAGCCCAAAAGAATCTACAACAATATATACCTATCCCTCTCTCTTCTTAAAAGCACTTTGGAGTTCTTGGGAAGCGCCTGATGGTACAAGACTGTGGACTCTCAGAATCTGGCCAGCAGGGATGCCAACTTGAATAAAATAATGGGGGGTGGGGTGGGAAAACAGGTAAGCCCTGCCCCCACATAATGGATCACAAGACAGGCATGCACACCATTAGACTGGCAATGCCCATCCACTTTGAGGGTCAGTCCCTTCAAATATTTTTGGGGCCCCCCGGAAGTGACCTCGGCCCCTAGAAGTCTGCCCCCAATGCTGGCCAGTCCCCTGGATACATCACTTGAAGCACCATATAGGAACAGAATAGGACTTGTATGTGCCTGTCCTGTCTTGCAAACGTTGCATTTCCCTATAAACTCTGTAAATGCAAATCCTGCTGTAACGGGGAGTGCAGAGAGTCGGCCTCTCAAGGAGCCAAGACTGCAATCCTTATACACACCTAAAACTAAATACTAATAATAATACAGTAATAAATGACTGTGGAGATGCTTGTCACACAGAGAGCAACAGGGCAGGTGGTGGGGCGGCAGAATTAGAGGAGGCGGCGGCGTTGTTGTTGTTGGGAAGGAAGGAAGGAAGGAAGGAGTCCCCTTTACCTCGCCCCTGCTTCTCCCTCGGGGCGGCAGCTCGCGAGGCGGCCGGGCGGCGGGGCTTCAGGAAGACGCTGTAAGCCGCGTAGAGGGAGAAGAGCAAGTAAGCGGCCAGCAGCGCGGAGCACAGCCGCTTCCGAGTGAGCCGCATCTTTCACGGCCCCGCGGGCGCCGCCATCTTGCCCGGGAAGTGACGCGCTAAGGGAGGCTTTGCTGCCCTCGCCTGCCCGCCAAGAGACGGGCGGAGAGAGAGGCGGGCGGGTGCGCCCGGAGGATTCGGGACACGCGCGTCCCGGACGGCGCTTGGCTTGGGGCTGGTTCTCCCGGGGAGTCTCGACAGCAACGAGACCAAGGAGGGGAGCCTGCCTGTTTGCGCAACCCTCCCGGAGAAGGCGAGGGTCTCATCCTCCGTGCGTGGTTTCAGTCCGCATCGTCCTCAGATAGGGCTGGGAAAATCTCTTCCCAAAAAACCCAGAAGAACCTTTATTGCCACAGGCTGCATGCATTACGCGGCATACATCCAAAGCATGGGCGTAGCGGGTGGGGTGGGGTTGGGCAGGAGCCGCCCCTAAATCAATCAAAATGAATACAAATCTGAGGTTCCCAACAAAAATCCTGCCTACACCCATGATTCAAAGCACACGCACCTGGGAGCCTGCAGTTTAGCCATCACAGAACTACAATTCCCAGCACCCTTAAGAAACTATCGTTCCCAGGATTTTCTTTTTCCCCCTGAGGTGGGTTTGCTTTAAATGTATGCACATGCAGCACATACCGTCCAACATTTCCCCAATGAAAATAGGGACATCTTATTCCAGGGTCAGCAAATTTTTTCAGCAGATGGCCGTTCCACTGTCCCTCAGACCTTGGGGGGTGGCGAACTATATTTTTTGGGGGGGGAATGAACGAATTCCTGTGCCCCACAAATAACCCAGAGATGCATTTTAAATAAAAGCACACATTCTACTCGTAAAAATACCAGGCAGGCCCCACAAATAACTCAGAGATGCATTTTAAATAAAAGCACACATTCTACTCATGTAAAAACACCAGGCAGGCCCCACAAATAACCCAGAGATGCATTTTAAATGAAAGCACACATTCTACTCATGTAAAAACACGCTGATTCCCGGACCGTCCGCGGACAGGATTGAGAAGGTGATTGGGCCGCATCCGGCCCCGGGACTTAGGTTGCCTACCCATGACTTCCATGGCAGCAGCAGCAGCAGCAACAATATTATTTATATCCCACACATCTGACTAGTTTGCCCCAGCCACTCTTGGCAGCTTCCAACATATATAAAAACATTAAACATTAAAAAAAACCACTTTCCTGTACAGGGCTGCCTTCAGATGTCTTCTAAAGGTTGTACGGCTATTTATCTCCTTTGGGGGTGCATAGCTCTATACCCTCCAACATTTCTCCAGTGAAAATAGGGAGGACATTCCGGGATCAAATCAGGAACTGGGACTGCTTCTGTAAATCTGGGGTTGTCCCTGGAAAATAGGGACACTTGGAGACCAGTGGTTCTCAAAACTTTCCCCATGAACTACTAGAAGATTCTCTAGGGTCACAGCAGCACGCTCAATAAACTTAGGGCATATCCACACTTTCCTCTGCTTTTTCCAGGCACAGTCTGTGATTAAAAGCTTTATGTCCAAGTGCTCCTCCACACACACCCTTTTTTGCTATGGAGCTTTCCCTGCGAAAACCTCTTTGCAGCTTAATCAGAGCAAATGTCAATTTGCAGAAAACCCGAATTGACGTTTGCTCCAACTCAGCTTTATAGAGCAGGTTTTCAGGGGGAAAGCTTGAGGCAAAAAACCAACAACACTCAGACAGTGAATCATAGAACTGTAGAGTTAGAAGGTACCCGAAGGGTCATCTAGTCCAACCCCCTGCAATGCAGGAATCTCAGCTAAAGCATCCAGCTAAAGCACAGACCTCTGCCTGAGCGGGGTGGAAGGTAAACTTTGAGGAGGTTGTACAAGTCAAAGCACATATCTCTCAGTCCTATCTCCCCCCACTCCTTCAGTGCCTTCATCATAATCAAAGTGAGGGCCCAATTGAAATATCAGGACCTAAGCCAGCTTGCTGAGAAGAGTCCTTTTAATTTCAAAGATAAAAAATACTGGACTACATCAGCACTGTACTCTATTATAAAAATCACAGGCACCAGGTGAGATACTTGTTAGCTTAAAGATCTGGCCCTAATCAAAATGTGACCGGCCTCCCAAAAGTTAATCAAATGCAGGTCTGAAAACTGTACAGATATTCTTGATTGCTTCACAGCTTTCTGGCAGGTGACGTAAATAAAGCCTGTGAATCACATTTTGAAAACCTTTGTTGTAACACTGCACTGGACTCGATGGGGCAACTTGATATAAAACAGCTCTTTTCATTTTGGAGACCCTTGATTAATCATATCCATGCCATCAGTTTTCCTCTTGATCATCTGAAGCTGAGGTACTTTTGCATCCACACTTCTCTTCCTTGTTGTCACCCTGCCTGCATGACTAGATCCTGGCCTATAGGTTAGACTCAAATTTGACAGACTTCTCTCTGCAGAACAACAGTTTAAGGAAGGCTGACTTTGGGAAGAGCTCAAAACAAGAGATGGGAATGGAACTCCCTTCTGGACAGCACTATTCTATCTGCTTTGTTTGTTTATTCCATTTATATCCCACCTTTCCTCCAATGGGTGGAGCACATGGTTCTTACCCCTTTTTTTATCCTTATAACAACCCTGTGAGGTAGGTCTGACTGAGAGACTATAATTTGCCAAGGTCACCCAGAGAGCTTCATGGTTGAGTGTGGATTTTGAACCCTGGTCTCTCAGATGCTCCTCCAATTCTCTAACCAAACTGACTGTGTCCTCATTGCAATGTTTTGTTACAATTATTTTCCCCAAACTAGTCTAGTGTAGGTATGCCTAGGCATAACCATTTAGGCTTGTCATCAACAATTTAGGCCTGTTGGAAAGAAGGAAAGAGTGTGGTTTGCTCCCACCTTGATTTTGTGATTGTCTGTGTTCCCCAGCATTGAGTGACAGGTCCTTTTAAATGCCACCTGCAATCCAAGATGAGCCTCTATTCAAATGTTATTCAGCCAGATGTTTGACTACAATTCCCATCATCCTTGAGTACTGTCCTGGCTACGCTGGCTAGGGATGATGGGAGTTTTGGTTCAAGATCATCTGGGGCTCCAGGGTTGAAGTACAGATGACTGACAGCAGTTGCTTTATAATTATGGGACTTAATTTATTTGGAATAAACTTTTGGGAGTAGTATAAAGTCAGTATCTAGAACAGAGTAGATAAGGGATTATTCTTAGTCTAGAACTTTGCAGTTGGTTTATGGTTGTTGCCTTGAATTTATTAAGCCCTTTAGTTGAAAATCTACTTTTGTGGATTCTTTTCTTTTCTTTTCCACTTTGCAGCAAAAACAATCATGGTAAGGCTTCCAGATTTATGCGTGCTGTCCTTTGCTGTTGGATAGCCTCTTTATCTGCTGTTTACTGTTTTAAGTTTCTTAAGGCCAAAGTAATTGGTCATTGTGCTGTGTTGATACATGGTTTCAATTATGCTGAGAAGAATGTATTCACTGATGGAATTTCAAGATATGATACCTTTGATAAAAGTTCTTTGGAAATCTTTTTAGACTAAAAGAACACCACATATTAAAAGTTTTCCAAAGTATCTGTGTATGTAATTCCACAAATCCCTTGCCGATTGTTGGAGGGTGAAAGATGTTTATTTAAGATGGAACAAAATATTTTTCATTTTGAAATGAGCAGGTGGGAGGAATGGTGAAATAAATATTGCCACTTGGGAGTGGTTTAAAAATAAGTTAGAGAACAACAAGTAAGCACTAAATTATAACTCTGTTGATGGCTGTATTTCTTGAAATAAGGGACAGGAAAAAAAACATTTTAATTGATTTTAAAGTGTTGTCATTGGTTTTTGTGATTGAGGATAGCGAGCAATGATACCCCATTTATGAAGTATGTGTGTTTTAAGTTTTTCAGAGGCAATGCTTTTGGAGCCATGCAGAAGAATCAATGATTCAGGTTTTATTAAAACTATACAGAAATGAAAGGCAAGGCTCCTTTATGCTACATGAGCTTTAATACATAGGAAATATATAATGGAATCACAGTAAATAAAACCCCAAGAAATAGCAGCTCAGCAGAATACTGTTATTAAAAAGGCAGCCTGACAGATATTTGTCTGCAGATACCCAGCTGAACGAAATAAGGTGCAGCAGTCCTATTATTCCTGTTGAACAGTCCTAGGAAGTGTGGCAGTAGCTGCTCCATTGGCATATTTGTGACCCAGCATTCCACCAAAAATATATTCAGAAAAAAGGAACCCATATAGGAGTATGACTAGGTTCTCCCTCTGTGTGTCTCTCTCTCTCTCTCTCTCTCTCTGTGGCACGCATAGCATTCGTGCACAATTTTTATTTTTTTTTTGCTTTTTTGCATTTTCTGTTATAAACATTCGTTTATTTCACCATAAGCTCTTTTAACAAACTATTAGCTCTTTTGATACAACAACAACTGATACAACATCTAACGGTGATAGTAATTATCTATTACAACTGTAAGACATATCTAGTTATTTCCTGTCATGAGCAGAGGCGTAGCAAAGCCAGGTGGTACCCAGTGCGGAAAGCTTTTTGTCACCCCCCCACATTGCAATTTGGGGGGGGGGGTGCCAGTGCCACCCACCGCCCGTGAAAATCCGACCGCCGATCGCATAAAACCGTCCGCCGGGGATGCAATTGCTGCGGGCGGATTTTGGCGATTGGCCTGATCGTCGTTGTGAAAATTGCCGCCATGAAAATCCGTCCGCTGATCGCACAAATACGCCCGGCCACAATCGGCGGGTGGCACTGGCACCCCCAGCAGGAGATGGGCCTAAAGTCTTTGGGATTTAGTATATCTTTCTCAGATTTGGGGATTAGTGTTATAAACACCTTCTTCCAAGTTTCAGGTATACCACCCCCTTTTTAGAGCTCCATTCATTACTTCTTTCTTGAAACGTTTTATATTAAATAGATGTGAGTCCATCTTGTCCTGGCGATTTTTCTATTTTTGCTTGTTGTATGGCAATAGTTATCTCTTCCGTTGATATTGGTTCATTGAGGTAATTTGTTAGCCAAGGTAGGTCACTTTCTGTAATGTACCGTAT